GTCAATAAATTAAAAATAAAACACTTTAAATTGGACTTGAACCCATACTCAAATCGGACGTGCATTGCACATAGATTGAACTATACTTGCACACATGCCCATGTACGAGTTGCACCTCGCCCAAGGCAGAAATTCTTGGGTGAATTATCTTGCTCTTTGTGATTATACCAATGGCCGAGAAGATGAAGTCGAACAACCTCTGCTAAGGACGACGGCTTCTATCGTCGACGGTGACTTTCTTCTCCTCCGTCTATTTTACCTTTATGTTTTATTTTTTGTCCCTCACCTCAATTCTATTAAACTCATTAAAAAAAAAAAATTCTTTCTTTTTCAATTCAATTCTGCTTTGTTTAGGGGTTTCTTTATTCACTCTTTAATTTTCAATTTAATTAAATGCTAGGCGAGGATCTCAAGCAACAGATCGAACATGTGTTTAAAAAATTACGCAGGTGGCAATCTGGGCCTTTGCTGGTTCAATTTTGGACATCCAAAATATCGAACGGCCGGTATTCTCTTAAAACTCAAAATTCACCATTTTTTCTTGTAACAAATGATGATACACTTTGTGTGTATCGGTGGATCTCTGGCGATCGTGACATTAACTTGCATGGAAAGTGTGAAGAAGACGCCTCGCTTCCCGGCAGTGTATTCTATAGCCAAAAGCCGTCGGTTTGGTCTGCGAATTCTTTAGCATCTTTCTGTTTGCCTGTAAATTTGCTTGGGTATGAACCACCTTCCTATCCTATTCGCCCAAAAAGAAAACTTTCATATCAGAATTGTGTTGGTATACTTGAAATAGTATCCAACACCGAAGAGCTATGTCTACAATTTTTCAAGGAAGCTCATGTTTGTGACCTCTTTCAGGTTTGTCGCCAACCCAACCCATATCTTAGATATGTTCAATTTCATGTTAAAAAAATTAGTATTTTCTTCTATTGGCAATTGTTCTCAACATTTTTAAGTTTTCAAAGGATTCATGAGTTGTATCATCTTTTTTATTATTCCATTGCAGAAGGAAGGTCTGATATGTTCAGATGTAAGACTTGAACCCTTGGGCATGAAAGTAAGTGGCAAAAATTGTAACGCATAAATGTCAAGTATGGTATTGAGTGATTGTTCGGTGATTTTGGAGAATTACTCCACACTGTTATCCTTTGACACTTGTCAAGTTATCTCCCAAAATTTTAACCTGCAACTTTAACTAATAAATATGGCTTGAAAATTGATATATTAAATTCAAGTTGTCTCTCAAAATTTTATAAATGCATAAAATATTAGGGACGGCTATTTTTATCTGTGGTCAATAGTCCCTCACTTACTACCAACCATTATCTTAGACATGTTCAATTTCATGTTAAAAAAATTAGTATTTTCTTCTATTGGCAATTGTTCTCAACATTTTTAAGTTTTCAATGGATTCATGAGTTGTATCATCTTTTTTATTATTCCCTTGCAGAAGGAAGGTCTGATTTGTTCAGATGTAGGACTTGAACACTTGGGCAAGCAAGTAAGTGGCAAAAATTGTAATGCATACATGTCAAGTATGGTATTGAGTGATTGTTTGGTGATTTTGGAGAATTACTCCACACTGTTTATCCTTTGACACTTGTCAAGTTATCTCCCAAAATTTTAACCCACAACTTTAACTAATGAATATGGCTTGAAAATTGATGTATTAAATTCAAGTTGTCTCTCAAAATTTTATAAATGTATAAAATATTAGGGACTGTTATTTTCATCTATGTGGTCAATAGTCCCTTACTTACTAGGAGGCACCAATATTTCTTCATTTTTTGTTGGGGAAAAAAAAAATAATGTAGAGAATATTTTTGAGACTATTATAAGTTCAAGGTTTTCCGATCAGAGGCCTTGTAATGTGTGGGGGAATGAAGAAATATTGGTGTCTCCTAGTAAGTGGGAGACTATTGCCCACAGATGAAAATAATGATTCCTAGTAGTAAAGAGTAGTTTATGGGTTGAAAATTTTGTGTGGTTCCTAATAAATTATGAGATTAATGGCCATGTTGTGTAGTTCCTAGTAGTAAACTAACAAAAATAATTCATTATTTACTTCTGAATTCCTGATATTAGAAGACATTGTCCGCTTGGTTCTTATTTTTTTTATTATTATTATTTTTTGTATCCTGAGCTTTTCTATAAAAAACAAAGAAGTATTTATTTATTTTTCCTACTTAATTAGTTACGAAACTGTTTTTCATAATGGACTAATTATTATTATTAATTTTTTTTTTTTTGCAGCTCGATGTCTCAACTACAGGAAGTGAGGCTCCCTCCAATTTTTCAGTGGATCACACATGGCAATTTACAACTGAACAGGTTAGCTCAACTAAACTTATTACTGTATATAAATGTATAAAATTTGTTTTTATGATATTGATTTGACTTAATATGTAGGTTTTCAATAGCAAATATGAATTGCTCAATTGGGTACATGATGTTGCCAAGAATAATGGTTTTGGCATTGCTACTAAGTCATCGGCCTATGGTGGGAGACCAAGGATTTATCTTGGTTGTACGGGTGGCCAATATCAAGCAACCAAAATGATAACCAGTACAAAGAAGTGCAGATGCCCTTTTACTATCAAGGCATTGGAGACGAATGAAAAATGGTCATTGAAAGTAATCAAAGGATCGCATACCCATCCACTTGCAAAGCATCACGAAGGATAATTCATATGCAGCGAGATTTTCAAATAATGAGAAATCATTGTTAATAGATATGTTGTTGTCATGATGGAATGTTTGCTTGATATGAGTTTTATGTTTGCTAGATGTTATGTTGTTTAAGTTAATGGTTGAACAATTGGCATGTTTGTATTTTGAAAAATTATAGCAAATTAATGCTGAATAATATGTTTGCTTATTGTTATGTTTTTGTTTAATTGGTAAATATTATGAGAGTAGTTTGTTTGATGGATATGCTATTATTATTTTTTAAATTTATGATAGGTTGAATTTTTTTGAAAATTTATATAATTTTTCTTGTGAACAGATTATGTGAAACCGTGGTTCCGAACCGAACCATGTTTAAATGGTTTGATTTGGTTTGTATTGGTTCTATGATTTTAATGATTTGGTTTAGTTCCAATTTTTATAGAACATTGATTAGTTTTGATTTTATCTCAAACTGATCCAAATTGAAATAAAACTAGACCATACACACTCCTAGTCAGACTAGTTACGTTAAAAAATAGGTATGCCTTAATTGAGCCAGATGTTAAGCCCAATACATGCAATCAGGGACACAAGATGATCAATAACTCTACCCATCGTAACCCGTATGCATTTGAGTTGGTTGAATTTGGACATGATAGTTACTCATCAAGAATACTCGATTGACGAAATTACCTTCTGTCCAAGCAAGGAAGAAGTGACGTGTGAAGGGGATGATAATTAATAGATTAGGTAAATCTAGTGCATATGTTGATGCTCTCCCTATTGGTTTGAAAGCATACATGAAGTATATCAAAGATGTAAATGCGATAGTAATTGATTAACTCTTCAATTTCGAATACTCCTTTTATTTGTCTGTCCACATGCTAGTTAATAATAAAAACTATATTATTTATTTAGTCTCACCAGAGTGTATTACATTTTTGTTCTTCACATTTATTATATTATACCTTTTCCTTTGGTTGGTTTTGTGATTGCTGTTTCAACAAGCTCATGAAAGCAAAAATTGTGTCCTCTTGGTCCATTCAGTCATTTCAGTAAGTGAATTGTTTTGGAGTACTAAAAAAGGAAGAAACTCAAAATGCTTAAACCTTGGATCTTGCTATCAGTAAAGATGGAGAAGATTTCTTGCGACGTTAAACTTCTTTTTCCTGGAAATGCTATCTGACACATTTGTACCTATGTTGTTGCAATCAGATGCATCTTATTCTAAATAGTTTATCCATGCATTTTTGCAGCCCAATAATGTTGCAACTTTGTCATTTCTTTTGCATGAGATAGTAGCAACTAAAGTTGATTTGTCACACCCGATGTGCACTTGGATTTTAGAGTTGGTTTTCACAATTGGCTAAATCATTGAACGACACAAGTTTTAATTTGTAAAAACAGTTGGAAGGACAAGGGATAAATTTTGATGTACTATTTGAAATCTATTTGTGTTCGAAAACTAAACCAAGATAATTTTATGATGTATCATGATGAAATATTTTCAGATAGTAAAATATTAGGGCTTACTCAAAGAGCATACATGAATGAACAAACAAAAAACCTCAACCACAAATAAGTGGGCAATTACACAACAAAAGGTTAAAAGCAATCGAAAAAATACATATATATTTCAGCCATAGAAAATAATGTTTCACATTCTATTCCTAGTTCAATTATTGATCCTTATTAGTTGTACTCATCTACAGTTAGTTATGAAGAGGGCATGCTCAGTATCAAAATGAGAGAATGGAATAAGAACAAACTATGTGGGATACCAGGCTTGGGGCTTTTAGATTTTCTGGAAAATTAATTCCAAAATATATTTCTTCATCCACTATTAATAATTCTCTCTTTAATTCATAACATATTAGTCTTTGTTATACTGACATTACATTACTTGTTTCTAAACCTCTTGACTCTAGGTATTAATTTTTGCATCAAACATGCAAGGTTAGGTTTCACATTTAAATATCTAAAACTATTTTTCTTTTGATATAGATATGAATATGATAGCAATGGAGGGGATGAGGAGAAAGCTACTTGTCTAGTAGCTACTTCACGCAGATCAGTGTGCTTACAGACAGACAGAAATGCCCGAATCTTTTGGGATAGCATTTACTCACTTTGCACTATTTTCTTTTTTGTTTTTTTCTTAAATTTTTTCTGAATTTTCCCTTTTTCCTTAATAGTGAACTATGTTTTTTTTACTTGATGACTTGCATCTCTATGTGAGGTGACAATCCTTTTGGTCGTAAACTATAATAGAATAACCCGTAAGAAGGATTTGCCAAAGTACATTTGATTTGATCAAAGGTAAGAGTGGCCCTTTGGGTTAAGGTTAATTTGGAGATCATGAACAACTTGTTTTATGATGCTACTGTGCTTTTGGGATGCAGTTGAGAAGTTGTCTTCTTGTTTTTTTTTTTTTGTTGTCTTCTTTTTTTTTTTTTTTTTTTTTCTTTATTTATAATTTAATTAATTTATTTTGTTTTATGCTGTTGGACTTAGTGCTCCACATATTTAGGTTGCTATGTGCTCACTTCAAGTAGGATGACTTGCTAATGGAAAAGGTTTTCTCATGCATAGAGGAACAGATGGTCGCTTGAGTGAAGAGTTTGTTGGTAGATGATGTTGCGACTTTCGGATTTATCTATTTGTGGAATGTTAAAATGGAGTTTAATTTTAGGTTGGGGTTCACTTTGTTTTCTTGTAATGTTTATGCTGTTGTTTGTCAGTTGGCCTGGGCCAATCATGTTTTTCTCCATTTGGATTTAATGCTTAATAGAAGTGTTCTTTTCACCTTCATTCTGTAAAATGTTATTATTACCTTAGTGCCCCCCCCCAGGAAAAAAAATATCATGAAAATGAACTACTTACAATTGCCAAGGCTAATTCTAATTTCAAGTTCAAATAATTGGTTGAAATCTATCTACGACTTGATGATTATGCACTGACTTGGACCATGGGCATGGGCATTGTGCAACGCACAACTCCCTGTAACTAGTATATATAAACTGATGTTGATAACAGTTTTATGGCAACGTCCTTCAACTGCTTTGTCTTGTAAAGAAATAGGAGAACAAGGTTGGATACTAAACTAATTGACCATCAATTAGAGGGTGTGCGGAGGTATCCTATCATTTTGATCACACATCATATGAAGCGAACTTTGAAGGGTCTATGAAAATACTCGGCGACAAACTCAGCATGAAATTGAATTCCTAACCAGACCAAACTCAGACCTTTTGCATTTGCTTTGATTCTATATGTTACTATTTTCCTTAGCATAAATGATGAGACTATCTTAGCAGCAGATAAAGCAGCTCAAGCTGCTGAGCTCAAAGCAGCAGCTCCAACAGCTCCAACAGCAGCCTATGCTTCATCAGCTGCAGCTCCAGTTCAGCTCACAGCAGTTAGAGTTTGTTAGGATTGATTAGTTAGAAGTTTGTTACATTGATTTGTTTTTACTCACTTGTATAAATATCTACTGTATCTGATCATAATGAATAAGAGAGGAAAAGTTTCAATTGTTCATCATGGTATTAGAGCTAGCTTAAAGCTCCTACGAGCATAGTTCGATCCACATATGGCTGCTTCACCATCCTCTTCTTCTTTACCTGCTAATCTCAATATCTTGATTTCCAATTTGAATTTATTCATCACTGTTAAACTCGATTCTATTAATTTCCTGATATGGCGAAGTCAATTTCAGAATATTTTACGAGCTACTGATCTGTTAGATTTTGCAACTGAATCAGTTCCATGTCCTCCATTGATGATCACAGATTCTACTGGTCTTGAAGCTTGAATCCAGATCGAGCAAATTGGAACAAGATTGATGCTCATCTGCTCAGTTGTATAACTGCTACGCTTACACCTACAATTTTTTCATCAGTTCTTCATCTGCAACACAGCTTCGAGGTATGGATTGCTCTTTGCAAACGTTTCACCATGGTATCTCGTTCTCACATACATCAAATGAAAAATCGATTGACTCATTTGACCAAAGGTTCCAAATCAGTTGAGGAATATTTGCTTCAAATCAAAGAACTTTTTGATCAATTGGCTCTAGCTTCATCACCTATGGATGATGAAGATCTGGTATTGCTTAGATTGAATGGCTTACCAGATGAGTTTGATGCTCTTAAAACTACTATGCGTGCAAGGATTGAACCTATTTCCATGGTCGAATTAACTTCTCTTCTGTGTTCTGAATCTCTACATATAGAATCTAAACAGAAGAGAATGCAATCACATGACAATACAGTTGCCTATGTATCCATGAGAGATTCCACTGGTGGATCTTCTTCTTCCAGAGGCCGATCCTCTTTTCGAAGTCAAATAGGAGGATTTCGAGGTACTTTTCGTGGTGGTGGAAGACAATCCTCTCGAGGCAGAGGCAGAATCTATTCCTCACCTACTATAATTTGTCAGATTTGTGGCAAAGGCAACCACACGGCTCTTGAATGTTGGCACAGACTGGACGCCAATTTTCATCAGTCTTTGCAACCAAATTCTTCTTCTTCTCAGTCATCTCAGGTCACCTCTTCTGGTTATACTCAACCAAGAGCTTATGTTGCCTCTGCTCCTCCTTCTTCTTCCTCTGAGGCTGCTCCCTGGTATCTTGATTCTGCTGCCTCTGATCACATTACTCATGATCTTTCCAATCTGAACTTGTCTCAGTCCTATACTGGTCCTGATCAAATCACAATTGGCAACGGTACTTCTATTCCTATTCACCACACAGGTAAAGGTCTTCTTCCTACGCCTCATTTTTCTTTTAAACTCAATAAACTTCTACATGCTCCTATCTCCTCTAATCTTCTCTCTGTTCATCAACTCACAAAGGATAAGAATTGCACTATAACTTTTGATGATTCTTCCTTTGTGGTTCAGGACAAGAACACCAAGGCCATTTTGCACAAGGGCTATAATGCTAGTGGCCTGTATCACTTTCCATATCTGTTGTCTTCTTCTTCTCATCCTGCTGCTATGCATGCTTCTCATTCATCATCTACTGCATTTTTGACAACAGCCTCTGCATGTGCTTCTGAAAATATTTGGCACCAGCGATTGGGCCATCCATCTCAGTTGAAGTTTACTGCTTTAAAGAAACACTTGTCTTTTCCTTTCAATAAAACAAAGGCTATTACTTCTCTTGTACACATTGTAGTGTGGCTAAGAGTCACAGACTCCCCTTTAAGCTGTCAAATTCTACTGTGAATAAACCTTTCTCTTTAGTTCATAGTGATGTATGGGGTCCATTTCATTCTACTACTTCTGAATACAAGTATTATGTGCTTTTCATTGATGATTATAGTAGGTTTACTTGGCTTTATCCTTTGTGTTATAAGAGTGAAGTTTTCTCCAAATTTGTACACACAGTTTTCTACTAAACTTCAAGTGTTAAGGACTGATGGTGGCACTGAATTTGTGAACTCATCCATGACTAATTTTTTTGAAAGCTCAAGGTATTTTGCATCAACTCTCTTGTCCATATACTCCACCTCAAAATAGTGTCTCTGAACGCAAACACAGACACATTGTTGAAACAACCATTGCTTTGCTTCATCATTCTTCTGTTCCAACTAAATTCTGGTTTGATGCAGTGGCTACTGCTATTCACCTTATCAATCGAATGCCCGGTGCCAAATTGTCTCACAATTTCACAAATCACCCTTTGAACTTCTCTATCATGTCTGACCTGATTACTCCTTTTTGAAGGTTTTTGGATGCCAATGTTCTCCTTGGTTAAGACCTTATACTCATACTAAATTGCAGCCTCCTCTTTATGTGTTTTCCTTGGCTATCACTCTTCTTATAAAGGTTATAGATGTTTGGATATGGCCACTGGCCAAGTCTATATTTCTAGACATGTGGAGTCTCATGAAGATGTTTTTCCGTTCTCTGCTCATCCTTCTGCTCTTCCTCAGTCTTTATCACAGCTTCACTCTTTCTTTTGGCCTACATCTGCTACTGATCAGTCTCCGTCCAGGTCCTCTTTGTCTGCTGCTCAGTTCTGTCCAGCAGCAGCTTCTCTGCTTTCTTCCTCTACAGATCCTCAAGTCTGTTCTTCTGCACCCCTTTTTGATACTCCCTCTGCAGTTCCTCAGGTCTGTTCTCCTGCACAGCCTATTGCAGCTTCACAGCCTATTTTAGCCACCTCTGCTTCACAGCCTGCACAGACTATTGCAGTTTCACAGCCTACTGTCTCTCTATCTAGCACTGAAGCTGAGTATCGCTCTCTTGCTCATGCTACTGCTGAACTCAGTTGGTTACAAATGTTACTTCATGATCTTTTTATTGCTCCTGTCACTGCTCCTGTCCTTTTGTGTGACAACTTATCTGCAATTGCTTTAGCATCCAATCCTGTATTTTACACTCGATCCAAACACATTGAAGTTGATTGTCATTTCATCCGGGAAAAAATTGCCTCCAAGAAGCTCCTTCTTCAATATATCCCTTCTGCTGAACAAATTGCAGATGTCTTCACCAAACCTGTGTCTGCTGCTCGGTTTCAATATCTTCAGTCGAAGCTGCTGGTCCACTCTCCTCCCATCAGCTTGCAGGGGGATGATAAGACTATCTTAGCAGTAGATAAAGCAGCTCAAGCTGCTGAGCTCAAAGCAGCGGCTCAAGCAGCTCCAACAGCAGCCTATGCTTCATCAGCTGCAGCTCCAGTTCAGCTCATAGCAGTTAGAGTTTGTTAGGATTGATTAGTTAGAAGTTTGTTACATTGATTTGTTTTTACTCACTTGTATAAATATCTACTGTATCTGATCATAATGAATAAGAGAGGAAAAGTTTCAATTGTTCATCAATAAACAATATGTACTTGGTAATCTTAAGAGTCTTTGTACAGCTGAAGTTTTAACCAATCTGCTTATTGGCATATCATTACATGTTTCTCTTTGTATATCGTCGTAGCAAATTATGATCTCAAATGCTTGCTGGAGATCTCTCTCTTATTTGTTATGAGTGATGATTGCTAGAGTTGCTGAATATTATTTAAGCATTTTTCTTATGAATTTATTGTTAGTTTGATAATTAAATTAGTGACCCACCCATTTTGGGTCAAGACAATCCGGATGTTCATCAGGTCTTTTCAACGATTTCTGAAGGACTGGGGCTTTGCCAGCAACATGACAGTGAGTTAGCGCCGTCGGTGGAGGAGCTCGAGCATTGCAAGGACGCTGGGAGGCCGTCGGCTGGTGCTCAGCATCCTGAGTATTCTCATGATGGGGAATGTTTATTGGGTCATGAGAGTCCGACGTTGGAGGAGCAGCATCGGACTCTGTCGGGATCTAGGGGAAATCGCATGGAGGTGTGGTCAGCAGACGAAACTTGGTGGGCCAATATGGCAGACGAGTTGGCGATGGTGATTTGGCTGACGGAAGAGGGTACTGAGACAGACATGTTGATTGCTGCGGAAGAGGGACGAGAGTCGGAGGTAGAGAATGTGTTTCTGGGGGATGATCCTCCTTATGCTGAGGAGGTTTCGGCTTGGGTGTTGGATCAAATCAATGAGGTGAGTCAGCTTCTGGGTGTTTCTTTTGAGGGACATGAGGATGAGGCTATGAAGTTATTTTCTGTGATTGAGGAATCTTGGAGAGGGGGTGCTCCCTCTTGATAGCGTGGACTGTCTTTGTTGGTGAACGGTGAACATGCCTTATTTTATTATTTGTATTGGGTTAGGCAAACAATGGAGTTAAAAGAATCTAGTGGGACTGACACCAATCTTGTTACTGAGGTGATAAAAGCTCACTTAATGAAAATTTAACTTACATAACGGATAAATGTCATAAACTGTTAAAAACATTGAAGTCATGTTATGTTTTCTACTTCATGCCCAGGCCCTTGTTTGCAAATGTTTGGGGAGTTGAGGGGCATTATGCTGTCTATTCATTATTTTAGCTCAATTCTAATCCCAGTTGTAGTTTTGTCACTGTGTTTATGTATTTGTCTCATATGTGCAAGCTCCCATGTGTATGCAGTTTTTGATTGATGTTATATGTTCGTATTTGTAGTGGACTTTTTGGTCATTGTCTTGATAGTATTTAAATTTCATATGATTGTAATGAATGTTAGAACTTTTAGTTCGTAGGGTGAATGCTAAATCTATATATATTTTTGTTTGGATCGATTTGATTATATTTTGGTTAGTTTGGTGTTCATAGTTCGAATTTCATCATGTCATCATAAATTTTAGATTAGTTCTTTTTTACTTTTGGTACTGTGGAAGTTAGATCTTTCCTCTTATTTTTGTCTTGATATTTGTTCTTAGGAGAACCTTTATTATATTTGTTTTTGTCATGAAAAGTTTCTGTTTGCCACTTTCACTTAACCCCTGTTTGTCTTCTGGAAACATGTAGAAAAATGAATGGGAACATTTTCTGAAGTAATGTTTGGGCAGCTGAGCAGTCTCATAAAAAAATGTACAAATCACAAACTTGATCATATAAGTTCCAGCCATGGCCTGGAAGAGACGAGGCAAATTACTTGATTCAACGAAATGTTATTCTGCTTCTTGTAAGTATTTCTTAGAAGGCTTTGATTAGGTTTCAGTATCCAAGCAACCTGGTTATTGCTTTGAATTATTATGACACTATTACCTTTTCCTTTTTATTATTTTCAATTTTGACTATACTCGGCTAGCATCTTACTTTAGGTTAACTTCAGATTTAATGGATCAGTCTTTTTTCAAATTTATAGATGACTATGCACTTGGATTGAATTAGTTCTATCAAGTAGGTAACTTAAGGATTTTTATTGAATATTCAAATACTCAAGAAGCATTCTCATTCCTTTTAACTTCACTCTCCTGCCCCTGCTTGCGTGCTCCAAAAATAAAGTCAGATAATTGAAGCTCAATAAAATTAGCTTAGCAAGCCTTAATCCCAATTACTTGGAGTTGGCAACATGGGTCCATATTCTTTAGTTAGCTTAGTCAGATTGGGTTATTGCACATTGTACATTTGACCTTCGATTATTCCATTTTATGTAAGTCTAAATAGTGTTTCAGTATTTTGTTGGAATATTTCCTTGAAATATACTCTACCAAAGTGTACATAGCAATTTGTATTTTTCATTGGCATTGAAGTATATTCAACAGAACATCTGTTTGGATCAATTTTTGGTCATTTCTCTTCATAGGCAGGCTTTCAGGTTTTATTTTCTCCTCTCGTTGGTCTCCAAGCATGAAAGTTTGTCATTTACATTGTTTTGCAGGTTTGGTTGTTTGCTAGCGAGTGCACCCAATGTTCACACTATTGCATCGTACCGAATCTTATTATGTCTTGGATATAGCTCCATCAATAATGGTTCTCATCATGAAGTTTGGCCAGATTCTGGTGAGAAGTTTTATGAAGGGGACTTTCGCCCTAATGGTAACTCTCTCTCTCTCTCTCTCTCTCTCTCTCTCTCTCTCTCTTTGTGTGTGTGTTTTATTGCTATTCTTTCCTGTTATAATTGAAAGTTAAGTTGCTTGGCAAGGGCAAAGAAAGTAGAAGGGTTGTTTACAAAAACAGAAATTAGGTTAAATGAAAACAAATTTCCGTAAATTTCATTCATTTTTTCTTTTAAGGTTGATTAGAAGTTGGACCCACACCCACTTTAATTTGTTAGTATAAAATCATATGAAATGAAGGCAACATACTCTTCGGTTTCAAAGGTCTCAAACTTATGCTTCGCTAGGATTGCTAGTATGGCCTTAAATCTTTTTTGAAATACTGAACCAACCCTGAGACTTCATTTATGGACATTTTTTTTCATGTGATATAAATAGTTGTCCTAGCCTGTTGTCTGTGCCTGAACTCTTTGTTAATTCACATATACTGTGATCACCACCAGAGACTCGTCATTTATTAGACATTGTTAAATAGTTAACATAACTATAGACTATTGTCGAACCACTCTCATTTGTTCAAACCTGTACTTCTGAATTGGAGTAATTTTTTTGGACCTGAACTTCAAAAGCAACTTGTGATGCCGGTTTTCTAATTTTAGACAAGTTCATGAATTACTTATGGTTTTACATGATATCGAACTTTCAATGTCTTAGGTTGTGCGTCATTATCTATATATTGAATTGAATTGAATTGAATTCACATTATGCTTTCACATGATATTGATGTTGAATTGATTTTTGCCCTCTTCTTGTTGATCATATAAATCTTGCAGATATAATGTGGATATTGAGCATAGTAAACGTTTGCCAACTACTACTTCGAATAGAAGACATCCTGCATTGGATGTTAAATGTGGCCGTGGTCTAGCGATGCTTTAGCACATAAGGAGGATACACCAGATATGTCGGATATTGTCATGGAAGATGAAGCTGTATTGGATGATGTTACTCATGAGGCGGCTCAACCTTAATTGGGAGCTAAAACTAAATTTAAATGAGGCCTTTATAAATTTTTACATTGTAATTGTCGGTATAAATTTATTTATTTTTCATTTTTTAAGGTGCAAAATTGGTAATTAAATTTATGTATTCAAGTTTTGTTAATATATATAATTTGTGTTTTTAGAATTGATTGTTGCTAATGTAACAGTACACAGAATCAACTATAAAATTAACCATAGAATCATGTGTTACAAAGCTTTTGTGGTTGGTTTTGTGACTAATATTTCTCTAAATGTTTTCTTATTTAGATGATTTTTTTAAAATTTTTTGTAAAAAGAGAGATACCTAATGATAAAGGTCTATGTTTTTATTGAGATATACAATGATGAAGCCTTTTTGTATGTATAATGGCATACTTTTTCTTCGTATTTAATAGTTGATTTTATGATAATATTTACTCTTTTTCTTTTTTCTTTTCTTGGTCATTTTTTGGTTTTGATACAAAGATAGTAGAATCATTTTTTGCTGTTCTGCGCAAAGCTAATTTGCATCCCCGACTACAACATACAATCGTAGTGTTGAGATTGTTGTTACAAAGTGTTTATTTATTATTGTTTTCGGGGTGCAAACATATTTATGTGAATGGAATAGTGTACGAATATATATATATATATATTTTTTGTATAGTTATGACAATATTTATGTGAATGAACTCTTGTAATGCGTACTTTATTCTTACAAATTATGGAACATGTGATAATGATGTTTTGGATGGTTATGTTTATGTGAATGGAACATTATGATGCTTATATTTCCTAATACAAATTCGAAAACATAATACAAATAAAAAATTTTATTAAATTTTATCATAAATAAAATTATACATCAATCAATATCTACAATATTAAATGTCTCTTAAGTAGTTACAATGTGATTGATGTATGATGTCCTTAGAATGTTGAATACGTTGAACGTGTACGCTTTATCCCAGTCAAACATATGCTTTATCTCAATCGTCTGCTCAAGAGTGATGGTAACGTCACCAATTGGTTGATATTGGAGGAACTGGATGATTCGATCCGCAAAAAAAAAAAAACAAAACAAAAAAAACAAAAATATCAGTTATAATTATGTACAACTAATTGATAAATTAATAAATACAAACAAGATTAATTTGTTGTACCTGCACAAAATAAATTTCTTTAACAAACTTGATGGCAATCTCACGACACTCAAGTTAAGACACTGGCACTATTCTCAAAGGTAAAAAGGTAAAAAATTGTTGTACAGATAAATAGTACAATACAACGTTATAGCATGACATAATAAGATGTCTCATGTTTGACATAATCATCCAATGCTCATAGTCAGGGTTGCTTTCAAAGTATGACAGGATGTGTGTCAGCGCCTCAACACTTCCATATAACTCATAAAGTGCAGTGTATTCCTCTTTGTGGTGTGCAACTCGCCTAGTAAATCATGCATAACTTGACACCATGCATTCTCTATAAAACCTATTAAATCAGCAATAGCCTAATATGTAAAAACCCCTGTCAAAGCTACAAATCGAAATATGTCATATTTGAAAAGATTGAGCATGGCAGAGTCCTTATAAAAAGCACAGGACAAATAAAAGGGAAATATATAAATCAGTAGAACAATCTATGGTGGCTCTGGACTACTCCATGTGGTGGCTCTGGATTACTCCATGCATGTATATGGATGATTCCACATCAACCCCAACACCTCCAAAAATGAAAAGAGGAAGTGAAATGAAAACAAAAATTGTAAAATATTGATTGAGAAAAATAATAGACACATGCATAAGAAAAAGAATAACCACAGATCTATGCACTTTGAAAACACTTTTTTCTCACATAGCTAAATAAAATTTGTAGTTTGGGCCATAACTAAAACATGTAACTTTAAAGAAAATCAAAACTCATTTACAAAGCCTCGTGGATCAGAAATTCATACCCAAAGACGGCAAAAGAGCACAATATATACGCACAAAGAACATTTATCTATAAGTATTAACAAAACCGAAAATCAAGTAAAAACAAGAAAAGGCAAATGGACAGTAAATTTATTTATTTATTCATTTTTATTAATTAATTAATTTATTTTTTGGTGCGGGGGGGGGGAGGACACCAATTTCTACCTGAAAGATTTGAAAAGGAAGCTGTGTTCCTTATCCCTACTAAAGAGAATCTCAGTTGGACTCTTAACTTCTTAAAAAACTAAAAGGAAATTTAAATAATTATGTTAAATTTAAACAAAATAGTGACCTGAACTATGAATTTAATCATCTGACCACCATAGAATAGACATTCAACATTGGTCTTACCGAAAAACAAAATAAGACATTTCATTTTTCACAAGTAGAACAAACCTTCAACATTGGTCTTACCATAAAAAAAAAATGACCAACATTGGTCCAATTCTAGAGAATCGTGCTAAAATAGAAAAGTAAAGCAAGTATCTAATCTTTTGACAAGAATGGCGAGTGTGCTCTTTCATAAGTGATGTAAAACTTTAGGATATGCGGAGAAAGATTTTGGGGATAACCAAAGTCCACGATCTCTGCAATTTTTGATGAAAAAGTAAATCAAGTATTAATGTAGGTAGCTAGAAAGAAGAGCCCAATCTAGCACACATTAAGCATTTCGAAAGTACAAATATCAGAAAGTTCAGCTTTGAAGATGAAGAGTGTCGACCAGAAAGATCAGTCAATAGTAGTGCATAATTTGCAATAAACGCATGGACAAAAGCAATTTTGTCTATGCATTAGTATGTGCACATATGCATATGATTATATCGAATCAGGTGGCCATCAAATGTATCGTATATTGTTGAAAATATGCAGCAAAGCACAATGAAAAAGGGCAAGACACAAATAAGAAACACATGATAATTCACAAACAAAAGATAGATGCTTTTTTTGAAGATTGTCTCAAAGGCAAGGCCATGCTTATATTGAAATAACTAATTCACCACAGAAAGACACTTGGATCAACAAACACATATGCTTGATTCACCAAAATTTGGGAAGAATTTAGGTTAGTTTTGATCTCACATTAGTGGCTATAAGATATCAAAATTATCTAAGAAATTTTAAAGAATACATGCAGTCCATTTCTTAGATCAAGTTTAATCATATGCTTAATCATGATCTCAAGTAATAACAATAAATTTATGCAAAATTGAGACTAATTTTCTACAAAATCTATGACCAAGATGATGTGAAAGTGGCAATTTTTAAAATTACAAAGCACCTTTCATTTATTTTTTAAGAAACATTTCACAAAATCCCAAATTTGTAAATAAAAATTGATGTCAAAACCACATTTTTTGAAGCAAAAATTCAAAATAATGCTTGGCATAAAAAGAACGAAAAAGGTAAATTTATTTGCAAAACACGAAATGCACAAGTGATGTTTCTGCATTGCCACATTTCCTTTTTTAATATACTTACCATGACTTTCTGCAAACTATTAATTTAGAGTGGTTAAAAAATGATAAAATGGCAGCTTATGTTGAACAACATTGCCATCAGGTGTACTAAAAATCTAAAAAATGCGATGACAAGTATTGAATAATTTACAATAGAAGTAGATTCCATCAACATTGTAAATGATCATAAAAATATTTTAGGTTGCTTCAAATTGTATAGCAATTACAATGATCAATTGAGATTCATTTGAGAATGGAGGTTTGAGACTTGTTACAATAAACTTCTAAATTTCTCAAGACGTCTATGTAAAAAAATAGTTTAACACCTAAGGAACTACATGTCTTAGATTGGATAAGATGCAACCACTATGCATTCTAAGTTTAACACCTAAGGAACTACATGTCTTAGATTGGATAAGATGCAACCACTATGCATTTAGAATGCACAAGTTTGCTTCAAAAGACTCCAGACCAACTGAAATAAGGGTAACAGTCCATCTAAGGAACAACTTACTAAAAAAAACAAAAGAAGCCAAGAATCAAACATTATGGGTCCTTTTCCCTTTTTAGCAGCTTTCTGAGGGAGTTCAGCACAAGGCAGAAAGCCCAAAGATATACTGAAGGATTCTAAAGATACCTTTTATCAAAGGTTGAACACATAGAAACTATGACTAAAAAATATAACAGTTAATCATCACAAGTGAGTGAGTAATGAGGAATCTCATTATCCTTCTACTAAAGAAGGGATATTTTTGCTTTTAGGTATCTACGTGCTGCAAACTAATATATGTTCTAACTGCCAGAAAAAGAATAATTACATAAAGTTATCGAACTTCAAGCAGCTATGACAGAGCTATTTTGATACAAGGTGTGATGGCAACACCTCCTAACAAATCTATTGCCGCGGATCTTGAACCTAGATTTAAATGCAATATCAAAAGGAATCAAGCTACTTTTTAAAAGTAGCCCTTTTGACCATAACAATGAGAGAGAAAGTGAGCACCTCAATCACTACCCCAGAAAGGCCAAAAATCCCAGAATGATGAAATTAGTAATTGTCCATATGAGACGACAAGCTCAAAATCTTGGTAAATCTATCACTCAAAAGCCAACCAAAAATTAGCCCACAAATATAACAAATTCAATCACCAAGCTAATGCAATCCTAAACATTTAAAAATCAAAAAGATTAGAAAGCATCCATCAATCTTGCATATAAAATAAAACATATTTTTTAAAAATACACAAGTTAAGAAATTAGAATAATAAGAAATAAGGGGTTACCCATAAAAGAAGAACTATTTTTATTTATTTATTTTGGTAATAAGATATTCAATAAAATAAAATAAAATAAAAAAACTCATACAAATAGTTCAGAGGTGGTCACGACTGAGATTGCAGAAAAGGTCTGACTATCACATTACCATTAAAAAGGCTATATGTTAAGAAACTACTTGAATTGTGTGGTTGGCTTCATAAATGCCTAATTTGCAAAGTTCACTGAAAAGATTAAAGTGGCCTTCCCTTGGTTCTAATTACTTGATAAAAAGTAACAGAGTGAAGCTTCTGATCTTTCATACATTCTATCTATAGCCACTGTATAACATTGAAGCCAAAACACATGAAACCAAAAAAAATTATGGAAAACAAATTTGTAGCCAAAAGAAAGCAAAATCCAAGACTTAGGTCTACTTCCCTTGAAAAAAAAAAAAAAAAAAAACTAGAGCAAGGAATAACAAACCAAAGAAATAAAGCAGAAAAAAAAAATGATAACAGAAGTAAGAACAAGAAAGAAAGCTCCTCAAACAATGAAGAATTGGAGATAATATTTATTTACCTTTTAAAAAACAAGATTGTTAGCTATTCTAGTGTGTTTCAGCTTCGAAGATTGACCCCTGGAAATCAGAAGGAAAAAAAAAAAAAAAACATTAAGTTACAACAAATTAAAACAAAAAAGGAAACCAAAAAACAAAAAACAAAAAAACAGAGATACCCAAACCAAACAAGAGCTTTGGTTGAAGATGATGGCCTTCAATGTAGGAACCATGGCTTGAAAACAGAGGCACTTTGATACCTCCTTTGAAATTGGTTGAACACATAGTTAAACCCATAGATCTGGTCCAACACATCTTCGAGATCATCGCACAAATCATAAACCCATCGTCATCCAAAATCGTCAACATTTAACCAATCTCCAGTACACTTTTCAGATCATCATTGTGAGCTATTGATCATCGTCCATAATGTGATCTCACTGTAATTGTCAAGAGATAGAAAGAGAGATGTAAGGACTGAGAGAAAGAGAAATGCAGGGAGAGAGATAGAGAGAGATACGGCATAGTGGGAGAGAAGACGTAGACGTGGCTAGCAAGAGGAAGACGTGCTGGTTCTCCTACACAGAGAGTGAGTAATCTGTGCATTTACCAATTAATCCAAAACTCTTCAATAAAACAAAAGCTAAACAGAATAAAGGAAAACAAAAACGAATAGCCAAAAGAGAGCCATGTTTACCGGAGCATCTACTAACTCCCTCTTATATATAAGTGCATAGATATATGTATTCAGGCAGTAGCTACATCAAGATTTAAAGAAGCATCAAGTGAGCATTTGCATCGAAAACATTCCAATCTCCTAGAACAGAATGAAGAAGACTGATATTTGCAATCATAAATAGACATACAAGAGCCTAGTGCTGAGTCCATGTTTTTAATGAAATTTTTACTTTGCTAATAAAAAAACTAAGTAAAAAATGAAAGGGTGACAATATAAAATAAACTAGCCAAGATTTATTTTAACTTTTTTCCGTTGACAGGTAGTTTTGTGCATTGTTTAAGCTAAAACAAATTAAAGTTGGTTTGTGGAGTCCACACATGGTTGCAAAGACGGCTTAACACACCAAGGTGATTTTATTATTAGATATGCCTCTAGTGTAGCTAGAATGAATATGTCATTACTATCTTTTTTTCCTTATTCTGTTCTTGCAGAAGCAGCAAATATCCGGCCCCGTTTGGTATAGCTGCTAAAACAGATTATAGATTATACCTTAACAGATTATAAATTATGACTTTAATTAGAAGCTGTTAATCTGTTTGGTGTAACTGTTGGATTATAGATTTAAGTTGCTGAGTAGTGTTTGTTAAATAAGCTGTGAAGTAATTTTTTCAATTAACTTTTATTTTTTGTTATTCACTACTTGCCTACATTTCTCAAAAAAAAAAAAAAAAAAAAAAAAAAAAAAAAAAAAAAATCTATAGTCCATTTGAATCTTTTTCTATTTTTAAAAAAATAAAAAATAAAAAAATCTTAGAATATAATCGTAAATTAACATGTCCACAACAAAAGCTGATAATCAGAAGTAAGGGGTGAGCAGTTTCTCAGAATCAGCTTTTTTGAGTTAAAATAAGTTGTTAGAATCGGAAACTGTTTGAAATAAGTTTAACTAAACAGTCCAAAATAGTTTTTCCAAAGGTAGAAACTATAAATTGGCTCAAAAAAGTCCAACCAAACACCCCCATCATTTACCGTAGCTACAGGACTAAGGAAAGGAAACAAATACCTGAACCCACCCTCTTTCTCGAGTGCAACATACACTGTAGGATGTTCTTACCGACATTACAATTATCTTTTGAAGTATCAAGTGGAAGAAGTGATTTTTAGAGCTGGTCATCAGTTGATCAACAGGGTGAGCCTAAACTTCTTCCCATTTTCCCTTTTTGGTGGTGATTGTCTCCACACATGGGTGAAACTAATGTTGGGGGGATGGGGCAGGGGTGTTTCAGGTCAAATATATTCGCAAGAATTATCTGAAAACAACTATAAAATGGGCATGCTAAGGCACAACCACAACATATATAAATCCACTGTGGAACTCTTTCATTGCTACTTCGATCTTTGCAGTTGCAGCAACAACTGAGCTTCATCTACATTGGACTTCAGTTCTTGTACAACTTTGTTCTTGAAAAATGCTTTTAGCTTTCTTGGTAGCTATGCCTCGGTAATTAGTTTCTTACCGTGTGCATTAGAGGTTAAAGGGCTAACCATGAAACTATATTTACAATCTCATATAGAAAACAGTGGCTTGGTTAGATAGGAAAATCCTTAATATTAATTTGTCAACCACTATCAGGTAAGCAGCCAGCCATTGCTTTTCAAGAAGTCTTTTCTCTATTCTTACCAACAAAACAGAGAGAGAGAGAGAGAGAGAGAGAGAGAAATTTCCTAGATACATGGACTTTATTTTATACCACACAAAATTGAAAGGTTGATAGCTATGAAGCACAGGTGTGGGTATGGATATGGGTATGGGTACAGGTACGACACGGGTATACCAATATGGCAAATTCTTTAAAAAGTAGAGTACGGGTACAGCTAGGGTAAATCAATTTTTTTTTTAAATTTATAACTAAACATCCAACATACAAATCAAAGTTTCAATATCAAAACTAAAAAGAGAACAACTTGTCTAAAAAGTTATATAATTCCTTATTTTTCTTTTGTGATTGTCTAAAATAAGATGCAAAAGAGAGCAAAATCATGACTCTTGGATAAAAGGTATTGGAAATAAATTACTTAATATTTTCAAATTTGAAAAAAGAATAATAAAGGTTGCAACAAATTCTAGCAGCTGAAAAAAAAAAAAAAAAAAACCCTCGTTGTACCCGTGCCGTACCTATGACGTACCGATGCTGTACCCACAATGCACCCAAATATATTTATCGTACCCAGCATGTATTCGGCGTACCCCATAATCGTACCGGTACATGTATCCACACCCGGTAAGTACTCGGTACTCGTACGGCACCATTTTTGGAGTACCCGTGCTTCATAGGTTGACAGGTAGAATTATTCTCAAATACTACAGGTAAATTGCTGGGTGTTGGCTCAACTCAACATCCATTAGGAAAAGAGCACCGTTCAAGCCACTTCAGCCTAAATAAAATCCATTGGGCTGCATTTGGTATTGTGAACAAAAGATATAGAAATCAGCAGCATATATCACTTTTTGCCTCATTTTAACAAATTTATCTCATAAACAAAATTGTATAGTTTAGCTCCTTTACCTCGTTCATAAAAAACAACAGGTATATTCAGAAATTGATAATAAGTACTCAATTAGTGAGCAACATCATAAGAGAATCTATAAGTTATTAAGCAACATCTAACTATTCATAAAACATAAAAATTCTCGAAAACAAAAATTATGTTTACCTGGCTGAAAAGGCTGCTACGATCCTATAGTAGTGATCATTCAGCAACATCTAGTTATTAAGCAACATGTTGTTAATAAATCTTTTAATTTTATTATTATTATTATTATTATTATTATTATTATTTTATGTAAACGTAGTGATCATTCCCTAAGCATTTAATTTTTACCATTTTTTTCAAATGCAAAATTCTTTAATAGCCTTGTTTGGAAAGTTGGCTATTTTAGTAGGCTATTTTAGTTTTTGACTATTTTAGTAGGCTAAAATTTTTGTATTTGGGAAGATGATTTGATTTTTTTGTAGTTAGATATGATTTTTGTGAGAGAAACTGAAATGATTATGGGTTTGATGTGACATTTTGTCTTATAGGCTATTTTAACTTATTTTGTCTTTTTGTGAATTTTAGCCAAAAAATAACCCAAAACCCACTTGCCAAACAAGGCCAATAAGTTCATCCTAGTGTAAGAGAAGAGGTATAATAAAACCCAACCAATTTTGTTAATATCATACCACTTAGTGTACCATTTTTGTAATTAGTTTGGTACGTATCGGTACAAGAAAGAATATCATAATGCAATATATATAAACGAGTTTCACCTAATAACACACTTTTCATGAGCATAATAGGCCTACACGTGGACGTGTTAGTACAAATATATATTTTTTGGGATAAATTCCACATTTTATTATAAAGTAGAATTACCTTCACAGCTTAAGAAATTTACTCAATATCATGCATTCCATGACTATCTTTTGGAATGAACCTCTTTATCACTTCTTGGGGAGCGGGATCTTGTCCTTCAGTTGCGAGTATATCCACAATCAAGGGAAAAGTGGATGCATCTATTGTAAAACCCCTTTGAACATTTTCCTCAACAAGTATTAATGCCTCATAGCACTTGTGTTGTCCAATAAATCCTCGGATAATAGTGTTGTAAGTGACATCATCTACCAAGCAACCATTCTGTTCCATTTTAACAAACAACTCTTTAGCTTCATGCAGTAGGCCTACTTCACAAAGACCTTGTATCATCGTAGTGTATGCCTTAACATCAGGTTGTAATCCGTTGGAAGAAAGGTTACTAAAAAAGGCCCATGAAGTATCAAGCTTTTTATCTTTGCAAAATGCATCAATGAGGATATTATACATAACAATATTAAGATGTAAACCATTGCGTTCCATCACCTGGAATATGACAATGCTTCAAAAATATTGTTGTTTCTGCACAGCCCATCCAACATGATATCATAAGTTTGAGAATCTGGAATTATGCCCGCAGCTTGCATATCGTTAAAAAGTTTTTGGGCAACTCCACATCTACCTGTTTCAAACAAACCCCGTAACATAGCACAGAAAGTTCCATTGTCAGGTTTCAACCCCCTTCGAGGCAATTCTCGAAAGAGATGCATGGCCTCATCTATTTTCATTTTCTTGCAATATCCATTGATTAGAATGGTATTAGCTAAAAACATTAGGGTGAAGGCCCCTCTCCACCATGGTATTGAACACTCCCATTGCTTTATCGATGTGGCCTTGCAAACAATATCCATCCATTAGAGTATTGTATGTGACTACATCAGGATCCACACCTCTTTGTATCATGACTTCAAGTATCCCCTTTGCCTCTTTCATCTTCCCTTCCTTGGTACATGCATCCAGCAACACACTATACGTATGAACATTCGGAGCAATACCATCATCCAACATTTCTCTAAACATTCCAGTAGCCTCCTTCCACCGGTCAAAATTACATAGGCCATGAATCAAAGAAGTATAAGTGACAACATTTGGGAAAATACCCTTCTCATCCATTTTAGAAAAGAGTTTGAGAGCATCATCCACCATTCTATCCTTGCAAAGACTGTCAATGACCGTGTTATACACTACGGTGTCAGGTTTACAGCTTCCGTCTTCCATTATCCTAAGCAAACTAACAGCCCTGATAGTGTTCCCCGTTCTACAAAGCCCATTGACAATGGTTCCATACATAACCACATCGGGTTCAATTTATCTACTTGTCATTAATTTCTTAAATAACTCGATAGCTTGAGGAGTTCTATCTTGCAAAATAAGTCCATTAATCAGAGTTGTGAAGGTAGTTACATCAGGTGTATAACCGCGTTTGAAGAGGTTACCCAAAAGAGAGAACCCGAAATAGACTCAATTAACACGGCAGTAACAGTTAATAGCAATGTTGAAGGTGTAGATATTGACCTGAATACCTACAAAATGGAATTTCCCAATAAGAGAGAGAGAGAGAGGGAGCGATGCCGTAATGACCCATTTTCAAAAGAGGGCTTAAAGCTTTTATTGAATTGAGAAGTAGGGGGGCAGAGGTCGCATTCGGACCATGCGATTGAACGAATTTAAAGCAGATTGAAGATGATTGGGACCCAAATTGCATAGTTTCCTGGGGCTTGTTGTGGAATTAGAGAGAACGAAACAAAAACAAATGACAATGAAAGCTGAGTTGGAGAGAGAAGTGGCGGTGGTGTACCTTTTAATATCCTCCCCTCTTTCTCTTTCACTTTCACTTTCGTTTGTTGTAGTTTGTGCTGTTTGGAATCAGAGAAAGTCCGTCAAGAGGTCATTTGGTGCTCTGGAAAATGCTACAGACCATTTATGATTTGGTAATTTTTTATTTTTTATTTTTAATAATTATTTTGATTCATATCCATCCCTTATATATAAAGCGCGAATACCACTTTGCCCCTTTGCTTATATCATAATCACCATCTCTCATCATAATCATCATTCCATATGGAATGGTCTCATTGTACATCATACATCATCATACATTAGTTATCAAAATCACTCAGCTACCTTTTTATATTATATTTTTTTTTATTGATAAATTAAAAAAAATGTATAGTTAATCAGATACTTTTAACATAATTATATTAATATGTTTTTAAATTTTAACTTACATAATACTTAAGCTATTTTATCATCTCATCACCAATAATTTGTTGTCATCAATTATCAATAATTCGATAATTATATAAATAAAAAAATAATTTTATCATATTATCTTTGTTTATTTCATTATCTACCTACTATTGACATTACTTTTGATTGCTTAACCATACAAAAAGGAAGATTAATATAATTATGTAAACAATGTGAGGCTAATTATATTTAATTTAATTATGTTAAAAGTGTGACATTATATTTTTTCTAAACTTCAAGGGTAGTGAATGTAACGGGCATAGTTCCTTTCCATACTCTTATTCTCCATACTTCCTAATATTTTATTTTTTAAACTCCATTTTAGGCTCATAATGAAGACTATTTGTGCAAAAAATTAGCTTCATCGATGAATATATAAACAAATCATTTTTTTTATTTTATTGAATGAAAAGTTTAAATTTAAATTCACAATTACTATCCATTTTAAAAGATAGAGGTGTTGTGTAGCATAATATTTCTCAAAATAAGTATTGGTAATAATATTATAAGGTAAAGTAACTAAAATTAATTAATACATAACTATAAGGCTGCGTTTAGAATTTTTTTAATGTGTTTGGTTTCTCTCATGATGGGATTCAATTTGAGAGAATATTTTGGGCTTAGTGGGTCCATTGTGAGCCAAATCTTAGTGATTCAAACCGTTCACTTTTTAATACTCATTAATAAGAATATTCATATAAAAAATTAAAATGATTGGATTTCGATAATTATATGTTTGAATTTTTGTGGTGTTAATTTTCTTTTAAAGTCTTTTTTTTTCTTTGCCACAATTATATTTTCTCTTTTGCTTCTCTTGGTTTAGATAGCACTATATATTTATAGTTTACATTGATTTCTTTACCTTATCTTATGGTTTACATTTTTAATCCTTAAGTTAAAATTTAATATCAAAATTGGGGTTTTGACTCCTCTACTACAAATGGATATATGGATATTTATATAAATAAATAAATAAAAGTTTTGAATAATTGTTTTAAATATTTTAAGAAAAAAATTCATTTTACTCGTTTGTAGTGTGAGCCATGAGCACTTCATTCCTTTATGATTCAAATATTATCAGAAAGTATCTATATGATTTTGGACCAAAGTACAATTGTTAACTCCGTTAACTATAATTGTGAAATGGTTATAATACCTTCAAACCCCATCCTTTTTTTTCCCCTTTTCTCTCATCTCACATACACATAATTTAATATTAATTTGAGAGGGTGATTTATGCTCCGGTGTTGGGCCGAGGTATAGACCGAACAAGTTGAGGGCCCAGCAGAGTATTGGGCCGAGATGATCGACTGTACACCCAGAGATGGGCTACCAGAACTTGGGCCGGGCAGAGTTTGGACTGTGTGCTGCCCCGGACCGTGCAGAAGCTGCTCGGCCAGGAAGTGACCGGTCAGACTAGGATGCTCGGTCCGAGGATTGTCGAGACCAGACAGACCGAGAGGCCGGCGCTCGGAAAGGCGCGGTCAGCCGAGGTAGTTGACTGACCGGCGAGAAGGCCGACCAAAGGAGGAGCCCGGGCTAAGCTTTGCCGGGATGCCGCCTAGCCCGGTCCTTCATTCGGTTATCCGGTTAGGCGCTTAAGGTATGAAGCATGGTATGACCGAGGTAGGGCAGCTCGGCTGCCGAGCTCCAGCTATGCTGACAGGCAGTTGAGAGCAGGTGATGAACGGCATGGTTTATGCTGACAGATGGGATAGCAGAGCCACGTGTCAGGAGATGACAGGGAGTGGATATGGGGCTCAGAAGGTATATAAGCATGTCTGCGCCCCCCATACGCGACACACGAACATCTCTGTAAGAAAATCCTTACACTCAAACACTCTCTCCCTTCTCTCTATTCCTCTAAGGTGTGTGCTAATTTGACCGTCGGAGGGTGTTTCCGGCCACACACCGCCGGGTAGCTCACCGTTACTTGCTCGCAGGTGATCGGATATCGACGGAACTCGGAAGAAAGGAATACGGGCACGCCGGAATATTTGCTCCCCGTACATAATTCAATTAATCATAAATTCTTAATTTATTATAATTCATCTTTTTAATCTAATTTTAATTAAGTTATATTTTAAATCAATCCTTAATTATTATTTATTTTAATTTTAAATTAACTTTTAATTATATTTTATATTTTACATCAATCTTTAATTGTATTTTATTTCTATTATCATCTTAATCTAATTTTACATTTGGAGTAAATGGAGGTAAGTATGTCTTTTTGTTTTGTTAATTCCACTTTATATTTTCAGAAAATTAAGTCCGCTCTACAAAATAATGAGTGTGATACACCTTTTATTAGTTTAGATGGCAAAAAATAACGGTATCACTTTAATCCAAAACTATATGGGAACTTTCTAACTATATTTGAATCATAAATGGGACTTTCTAGCTATATTTGAATTATAAAGGGGTAAAGTACTCCAGCCTCAAATTACAAGGGTAATATGAATTTTGCCCATGTTTTTGAATTTGTAAATGATTTCTAACTCAACAAATGAATATGTACAAAAAACTAATATTTAAAAAAAAATGAGTTTGATTATTCGTTTATTTTTAATTTATATTTAAACTAATATTTAACTCAACTAATATTTTTTTTAACAAATATTTTTTTTAATTTAAATTGATTTTTTCAATTGAGTTGTGACCAATAGGTTTTACTCCTAAATTTTGAATATTTAAAAGACGTTACAAATAGAATTTCTTTTAAAACAAAAACATTAATGTTTAGTTTGGAAATAGACTATTTTAGTAAGTTTTTTGGCTAAAATATGAGGTGAAAAAAATAGTATATTTAGAATGATTTTTAACTTTTCACCCAAAAAAAAAAAGTCTAAAAAATGGAGAGAAAAAAATCTTTTACTTTTGTATAATTCTTTGGCTTTTTAACATTTTTAGTGTTTTTTTTTTTTTTGAATTTTAACTATCTTTTTGTTGCAAAAATAAATAAAATAAATGATCAATAAAAAAATATATCTAATCATCTCGCTCACTTATTTTAAATTAGAGTTAATTACCTAAAATTTTATTTACAAATGTTATGGTAGCGCAAGTCCTATTTAAGATTTTTTGAACCAATAAGTCTTATTTAGTAAAACTGATAATATTATCAATTTTTCCTAATTTTTAAAACTAAGAACATTATCAATTTTGCATTGTAATATTCCAAATAATTGTTTCACTAACTGATAAAAAAACAGAGCATGAGATTAAATGTTTTTGCCTTATTTATTAGTTTGATTCAATTATCCAATAAAACCGAGAACATTATCAATTTTTTTCAGTTTTAAAACTGAAAACATTATTAGTTTTTTCATTTTTAAAAGTTTTTTTTTTCAGTTTTGCATATCAATGTTCTATCATCATGCTTTCTTATAGACATAAAATTTTCAATTTTGCACAAAAAAATAATTTAATTTTTTCAAAAAAAAAAATAGTTTTTTTTATTTGAAAGTTGATATTTTAAATTTTTTAAAATCAAAATATATGTTAAATTATTATGTTTCTCTATAAATAATCATAAATGATGAACAATCATTATTTGAAGGATAGTTCCAAATATTAAAAATTTAATAAAACTTAAAAATATTAATTAAAACTTAATGAATTATAAGTTAATCAAATAAAAGCCCCTTTAAATTGCGCGCATAGCGCGGAGCACATCCACTAGTAACATATTGATCACCTTATTTTATTTGATTCATGTAACATATATTGATCACCTTATTTTATTTGATTCATGTAACATAAGTGGGTTTGAGTATAAAAAATAAATAGTTATTTCATCGTACATTTTTTAAAATAACTTGGGGAGTATCTCAAAAACTCAATAAAAATATGAGAAATTGGTGATGAATTTAATTTAAGAAAGGTATAAGACTTATGATTCAATGATTATTTTGTTTTGGTTTTTTATAAAATATTGCGATAAGAAGTACATTTTGTCATAAAGTGCTGTTATTAGTATCCCATCAATTATTTTGGACCCTTCATTTTTTTGGACCTCCACTTATAAATTTTAAAAC